CCGCCGCCCCGGGCTGCCGTCCCGCGGCTCCGAGCTCTCGGGCAGCGGGCTCAGACTCAGGTCCAGGCCGGGCTCGGGCACTGGGGCTCGGGGCTCCGGGGCTGGGGGCTCTGGGGGCGGCCCCGGGACTGCCGCGGACTCCAGCTCTGGCTCCCCACAGCCCATCATCTCGGGGCGGCTGGGAGGGTGCGAGGTCGCGGGTCGGCCTGGAATCACAGATTTCAGACTCGCCGCCGGCCCCGCTCCCCCGCCCCTCCTGACTCCGCTACCGGAAGCCGTTAGCCTTACCCGGGGACCTCGCCCCGCCCCGCTGGCGCTCCTACAACGTCATTTCCTTTGTTCCGCCCCCAGCTTCCCTGAGGGTTTCTGCCTGCCAAATCCGTCTCTGCCCCGGAGGCGAGGTGTTACTACTGGAACCTTAGAAGTCTTACGGATCCTCATTAGGATCACGTCTCCTTTCCAAAACTTCAGTAGGGCTTCCTGACCAGCTTGAGTCTTTCCGCAGTTTCTGATGGGAGATCGGGTGTGAAGTTAGTCCTGGCAGGGCGGGGCCAAAAGGAACAGCCTTAACTAAAGGACCCAATGTCTCTGCATGTAGATTGCCCAGCCCCGTGCCACTGACGTAGGAGAAATATAACTACCAACCTGCTAGATTTGCCAGGTTCCTGTCCCCCGATATCAAAGAATGAACTCCAAGGACAAGAGAAGTAGGAGTAGGAAAAGTATTTATTAAGAGCGCTTGCGAGACAAGAGGAGTCTTGAAAGTGGGTTGCCATAGAAGCCACTTCTCCAAGAATATTTTATAGAGCAAAATCAGAAGGTGGGCCTAACTATAATCAACCAATAAGATTACAAGTATAGCCGTTTAGCTAATATTGATCCAATAGGGAAGCGTGGTACACAACAGGGGTATAAGGGTATCATTAAAACCATTGGAGCATAAGATGTAATTTTGTCATCAAGACAACAGATCTAATAGACCCACGTTTATTCTTCAGACTATGTCTATTGATGAATTATTAATTTTAATTTTAGGGAGTTTTATTATATTAAACAATGAGTACTTCACAGGAAAAAAATATCAAAAATAAGGTATTGAGTTTTTCATATTTATTGTTTATAAAAAAGCATAAAAATTTCCAACATCTACTGGTTTTTGGTGTACGAAGTCTAAAAAGGAACATCAAAAATAAATTCCCAGGTAGGGCTTGGTGGCGCACCCCTGTAATCCCAGCACTTGGGAGGCTGAGGCAGGAGGATTGTTGCGAGTTCGAGGCCAGCCTAGGCTACAAAGTGAGCTCAAGGCCAGCTTGAACTGCATAGCAAGACCCTGTCTCAAAAAGAAAAAAAGAAAAAGAAAAATAAATTCCCATATGAACTAACTACAATGAAAATACCAATAGCAGTCTACAAAAAAAAAATCTCTACTTCAATTATCACACCTAAGGCAGTCTGCACACATGACAACAGCACATTCAATACACACGCATCGCTTACACTGACAGCACAAGTCTTTTGCTTTCTTGGCTTTTTTTTCCTGGCCTTTTGGTCAAGATACTTGACATCTCAGTGGTCTTGCTGTTTCTTATATTATACAGTGTGTAATTAACAGGATCATAAAATATCAATAAAATAAATTATTAAATCCTTTGTATTATGCATTTAGAATAAACGTTTTCACATCAGCTGATTATTTCCTTATACAACCTAAAAGACGACATCAGAAATAAAGTCCTATGTGAACTACAATGAAAATACCAATACAAGTCTACCACAAATATAAGCTTTGCTTCAACTGTCACGCCCAAGGCAGTCTTCACACATGACAACTGAATGTTCCATGCACACGTCTCACTTACACTGACAGCACCTACACTTAGATTTTCTTTGCTATGTTGCAGCCTTGTCACCTCTCTTCTGTTCCTGTTCTGTCAGGAGCTTCCTACTGTATTGTAAAACATGCACATAGCGGGGAAATGAAATGTCAATAAAATACAATATCAGATATGTAATGAGTACTTAGAATAGACATCAACATTTTCACATCAGCTGTTTACTTGCTTACAAAACCTGAAAGATAACATTAAAAATAAAAAACTAGATGAACTACAGTGGAAACAAAGGACTATCACAGAAATAAGCTTTGCTTCGACTGTCACACCCAAGGCAGTCTTCACACATGATATCTGCATGCTCCATACACAAGTACCGCTTATATCAATAGCATGGATGTTTTTGTTTTCCTGTACTTTCTTGTAGGACACAGTTGACATCTTTCTTCTTTGCCTGTTGTCATAGTAGGTCTTTGTGCTGCTGCTCCTGCTTGTTGACCTGTCAGCTCACCAGTGTGGTCCACAACTTTTTTGCATAGTTCCCTGGGCAGAAACATTTTGTTTTTCCTCTGTTGTAAATGGTCACTTATGAGTTCCAGTCCCAATCCTCTAGGAAGATTTCTCTGTGATATTTTACACTTGCTATTTTCTTTGTAAACTACCAAACTATTTATGCCACACATGTTTAGGGTAGAGTAAAACAAACTGTTGGCGAAGGCTTTGTGTTACAAGTGACAGTATAGCTGCTGCATAACACATTAACAGCATCTACTCCATCTTTGGTTTTGTTGTTGAAAGTCTCCATCTCAGCCTTCCATTTTGTCAAGGTTTTCCTATCAGGGATTTCCATTACGGTGAAATGTTGACATCAGCACTACCAGCTTGCTTTTCTTTGCCATCTAGGAGGCCAATGTTATATCTTTCTGAAATTCAAAGATTGTACTATACACTTCTCTGTTTTGAAGTTGCAACATTTCATTTGGAATTTCTGCTTTGTTCCTGTGTACAGTTCCTGTGCTGGTCAACTTGTGCTCTGTTAGCAAATGTAACATCATTTGTAAACCAACTGTCAGATGTCACATTCTGATTAGTTTGTGAGATGGGAGCAACAAGTCTGTTCACATCATTTGATTTATTATGAGGTGAATGAGGATCTGATGGCTAAATTCCAGGATAAATGTCTAAACTGAAAGAACAATAAGTTTTTGCATCTACAAGGGCATAAATTTTTATGCCATATTTTGACCCATTGCTTTAGTCTTTTACATTCCTATGATCACCTTGCGAAATCCATGCTAAGTACAGCATACCTCTGAATGCTTTCACTTCAGCTAGTAAGGTGTCACAATAAATACATTTTTTACTATGGCTATGGGTGCATACATTACATTTTACGGGCATTTCAGGTATTGTGTATTTCACAGCATCTCATAGCATTTCATCTGTTAAAACTTCCAACAAGGGCTGGGGATATAGCTCAGTGGCATAAGTGCCTGCCTGGCAAGCACAAGTTCCTGAGTTCAATCCCTGGTACTGCAAAAAAAACAAAGAAACAAAAAAAAACTTCTAACCTTCCATTGGCAGTGCTGGCATTCTGTCCAATACATTTCACTCCTGCTGAGAACTTCACTATATTTTCAGACCTAATTCTAACCCTGGATCGTTCCATTTGGTTGCATGGCCATTTCACAACATTTCGACTAGTCAAATATGGACTCATGTTGCTGTTTTCTTCCTCATCTGAATCAAGGAGGTCTGCATTGCCTGTGTCTGTACCAGTCAATTCTTGCTCCATTTCACTGTCACAGGAACTTTGGCTCACATGGCCAACATCAAAGTCATCATCATTATCATCATCACCATACACCTACACCAGTCTTCTGTTATAAAAGCATGTATTTTACCATAATGGATCATCTTCGTCATCCATGCATGAGTAACCTGATGATTCACTTTTTTTTTTTTTTTTTTTTTTGTCTTTTTGAGACAGGGCCTCACTATGCAGTTCAGGCTGGTCTTAAGCTCACTTTGTAGGTCAGGCTGGTCTCAAACTTGCAATGATCCTCCTGCCTCAGCCTCCTGGGTGCTGGGATTGCAGGCGTGCACTACCATGTCTAACTGCCAATTCACTTTTGACCTTGTTCAAAACATCAAATCTGATTTTTCACGTTCCATTGTACTGAGTTGGGCAACTTCTACCAGAAAAATTAAAAGAAAACTGTTTTTTTAAAAACAAATCATAGGGGATTGGGGGTTAGGCTCAGCGGCGCAGCGCCTACCTGGCAAGCGCAAGGTCGTGAGTTTGATTCCCGGTACTGGAAAACAACCCAACCCCCGCAAAACAAACAAACAAATAAACAAAAACTATAAAAACAAATCATAGAGTGGCTTGGGTCTATTGGATGCTCTGTGATGCTCCAATAAACATATGCAAAACCAGTTAGCTAGAGCATAAAGGTAGGTCAAAGCCCATTTTGACACATTTGCACATGTACACACTCCTTGCTGTTTGTCTTACCAAGTAGGTAAACACATAGATTGTTTCCTGTATCCCTCCAGAAAAGGGGCTGGGATGCATAACTGGCTACTATAATGCTAAAGTACAAATTTACAGTAGAAAATTAAGGGAGGGGTCCTTGGACCCAGGCTTTATGCCCTGAGGGAATTAACCTCAGCTTCTTTATGAATTCTAACAAAGAACAGAAACATTTTTGAGGACTCATGGTCAGACATTCTGGTCACTCACCTGGACAGCTGATGCCTATCTGGACTTTCTGGACTAGGTGATGATAATTATAGCATAATTCTCAAGTTGCTGTTCTGCCTTAGGGAGGCATGTGTGCCTGGCTATTATGACTTCATCTTGAGGCCTGGCCTTCTTCAGGTAGGCCTCCAGCCACAGTTTTGATGTGTCTCATCTTCTACGCTGCCTCCCTTTAGGGCCCATCCCTTTCTGTCTGCCTATTAATTTCCTTCTAATTTAGCTGCTTATATTATTGATCTGTGCCTCTGTTCTCCCTGTCCATCCCAGGTGCTTGATTATGGTAGTGAGCGCCACACTGGGTAAAGTAGTTCCTCCTGCTTAGTTCCTTGAGGTAGGGTCTCACCTTGTAGTTCAGCCTGGCCTTGAACTCACCATGAAGCCCAGGCTGGCCTCGAACTCACAGCGCTCCTCTTGACTCAGCCTCCCAATGGAATTATAGGCGTGCACCACTTTATTCTATTCTTTATTCTAAAAACTATTTTCACGAATTGTCTATTGATTTCTGCTAAGCAGATAAATTTTTTTAATTTTGTAGAGAGATCTTTCTGGTGTGACTTGGAGCATAACATCTCTCTGCCTCAGATCTTTTCAGGGCATCCTGTAGGGCTTAAGATGAAACCCCAACTCCTCATTTCCGCTCTTGGTGGACATCCCTGCCTCCTCCTCCTCCTCCCTGCCGCCCTGCCCAGCCTTACCCCTTTCACTGCCCTCACTTCGGCTTCGCTAGGTGAGTCTCACACACACCCCTTTTGAAAATGCTAATTCTCTGGGGGTTTTGTTTGATTATTTTGCTTTGTTTTCTATTTTGGTTTGGTTTTGGTGCTGGGACTTGAACCCAGGGCCTCAGTGTTAAGCACTGCTCTCCCACTGAGCGAACTCTGGCTCCTGATTCTTACCACTTCCAAGTATTTCCTTCATACTATTTTCCTGGCTTTTCTCC